TGTGCAAGAGGAGTGTGCGGAGATGGTGTGGGCCAATAGCCAGTGTACAATATCAAGGAGGAAAAGAGGCTTGCCCTCCCCACAACTTTTGCTCTTGCTGCATTTGCTGTCTTCTGACCCCTTGAACTATTGCCCCTCTGCCATGTGCCACCCTGCCTTAAAGCCAGCTGATTATGGACTGAAACCTCTACAAACTGTGAGCTAAATAAACCTTTCCTTCCTTAATTTGGGGTGTCTGGTGTTTTGTCACAGCAAAGAGAGAAAAGTAATTAAGACACTTAGTTTTATCACAAAGCTGTTAACACCATAGAGCACAACAAAACCAAAACATTTGAAATGATCTTTCCTGCCAAATCGTTCTAGGATAATATACATCTTTACACTGTCAGGGCTTCATCAAATGGTAAATAATTAAGTCAAATCAAGTATATTCTTTTACGAATTTTGAATAACAGGAGTTTGTTAGATGATGCCCTAGAGTGACACTGACACGACATGCTCCATTTTCCTTTGATTTCTAAGTTTGGGGTTATAGTTCTTCAAAATCAAGTTGCAGAGGTGGGAGAACTCTGATAACAGACAAGGCAAGGCAGCCATGGCAGGGGCCACTCACGTAGGACCCATGAGATGGGTTTTGCTTATATTCTAGGCCCTTCAAAAAACTACTCAAGGGTTTTATTCATGTGACGGCATCATATGATTCGTACTCAAAAGCGTACTCTGGAGGGAGGATAGAAACCAAGGCTCAGCAGTGCGGAAGAAAAGAAACAAGGCAGGAGATAGCAGAGATTTGTTCCAGATGGTGGTGGTAAAGATGACGGAAAACAGGCCGGGCATAATCCCAGCATTTGGGAGGCTGAACTAGGAAGATCACTGCAAGTTCAAGGCCAGCCTGTGCTACAAAGCCTGAACTGCACAGCAATACTCTGTCTCAAAAAAAAAAAAAAAAAAAAAAAGGAGGGAAAACAGACAGGTTTGTTTGTTGGAAATTAATTCTTCTGGGAACCCAGGACGGCAACTGCACTTAGCAGGAAAATGGTCAAAGGTGCAACCTGGAGTTACAGCATTATGTCTCAATATTTTGTCATTATTGCTCCCCAAAAGACTTTCGTTCCTAACCACCCTCTGCACAATGAAATTCCACTACCACAGATGCACTGACCATCTGCTTATGTACCAGGAGGGCACAAACCATGGTTGTAGCTACGATGTTTTTCATCTCACATGAACCAATTCTTACCTGTTGGACAGAGTATACTCACCACAAGTATAAATTTAAGAGTTGGAAGTATAACTTTAGGAGTCATTTGTGAGGAAGTTGACAGCTTAAGCTGTGACCACGAGGCTCACTTAGGACAGAGGAGTGAGGTGAGGAAGGTCAGGAATTTGCTGGTTGACTGTAAGTGTGAACAGAAAGACGCAGCCGCCACAGTGAGAAGACAAGACATGCTGTGACTGGCGGGTCAGGGGAGACTTTTCTTGAAAAGCAAGAGATTAATGGTGGTGACTCCTGCTGAGAGTTCAAGTAAGGTAAAAATGCAACAGTCTACTGGATTTAGCATGTGAAAGCCAGTACTGAGACTTACAGGCAGAAAAATAGACAGGAAGAAAGCACATGGGACCGAATTCAGGAGTGGAGGGTGTACCACTGCAGATGGCCCTTAGTTTTCATAATGTAAAAGAAAGTATGTAACAGGGTCTTGCTAAGTGGGCCAAGTTGGACAATCCTTCTGTTCCCGCCTGCGGTGCAGCTTAGACTTCAGGATTTGACCTCTCTCTTTAGTGAATATGAAGTAAGGTTAGGCAATGTCTAGCAGGAGATGCAGAGGTAAAAATGGGTTTATAAAATGGAAAAAAATTCTCATTTTGGAAGTCCTCCACTGAAGGATGGTTTAAATACTGAATAGAGGGAATAATTATAGCAGAAACTGACAAAGCCCGGGATCCTGTTTTTTGTTTTAAATAAAGTTTTATTGGAATACATAGACATACACTCATTTAAGTGCAAGCAGGGTTGTCTTTGCACTATAGCAGCAGTTAGTGTCAAGAGGGACAATATGGCTAGTCAAGCCTGATTATTCTGTTTTCTTAAGAAAATATATTCCAAATCTTGATTTCTAGGCTAGAATATCATAAAACCCTATAGGAATTTGAAGATAATATAATTAGGAAAAAAGTTTATTGTAAAAGAAAAATAAAGGAGAAACAATGTGTATAGCTGAAGGTGAATTTGTGGTAGTTTGTTGTTCAAAAGGTGAAAAATGTTAGCTACTAGACTCTTTGGAAAGACCACCCCACACCCTGCCATTCAAACAAAGCTTACAAATTACACTCTTTAGTAAGGTGAAACACAGACCTGACGGTTTTATTGTGTTTCAAAATAGAGAAATTAGGGGAAGATATTTATAGTGCTTAGAGCCTGGGCTGGGAGGTTTTAAGGTGAGTCCTGCAAGGTGTGGAATTAGCTGTAACTGGATAGTCTTTTGGACATTAAAGAAATAAATAAAATGTATATATATATGCATATATATATATATATATATACACAATAACTACCCAAGTCTATTACTATTAATGTGTAAATAGTTAATAATTATGATATTTATAAGTTCAATGTAATATTAATTTTCCCTTAAGCTTTTTGTAGAAGGGTATTATACTGAAAATTTCCGCACTTTGGAGGATGTAGATAATGTATAACAATGTTCTCTATGATACTGTAAGTTTTCAAAGTTCTCTGTCCATATTTTTTATGACAATTGTTGGTCTAAGGACTTCTCATTTCAAGACAACTTCTACTTTGAGTCAGGCAGTTCTGTCTGTGGGGTTACTGTGCACCATAGGGTACATAGCAACATCACTGGCCTCGACTGACTGATTCCAGCAGCACCCCAAATTCTCTTGGAGTTGTAACACCCAAGCAAAGTCTCCAGGCTGCCAAATGTTCCTGCAAAACCACCCCTGGTGAGAATCGCTGGTTTCGCTTATATGCGGTTTCCCTCATTCTAAACTAGTTTTATTACTGTGGATTTGATGGCAATATAAATGTTTGGTTTAAAGTATTTTTAGCTGGTAATTTTGAGTAGTTAGACATGGAGATATATACATGAGATTTTATTTAACAATTTTGTTTTGAGAAAAGATTTTGCTATGTAGCTTAGGCTGGTCTTGAAACTTATGATCCTTCTTAATCAGCCTCCCAAGTGCTAAAATTGTAGATATGGAAAAAAAAAAAAAA